CTTGCGCATGGAGACCCGTTGCCACGATATGCTTCGCCAAGCCAACGATCGGTTTTACGTGCGGGTGAAGACGTTTCACATCAGAAGAATCATCAGAACGATTGCAAAAGTATTCAATACCCATTCATGTGAGTGTTTCTTGAAAAAAAGGGTTTTAGCTCTTTCATGTTTATTTAAATAAATGCTCTTTCGAACGTTTTGAAATTAGGATATAATTCTCCCAAGGTCGTAGTGGCATAGCTCTTCAATAGGTTACCAAATTATGCTACCGAACTCCCTTCCTTGAATGTAGTAAAAAATAGAGTGGAAGACATGCTTATGAAGAAGAGTATTAGTTCTGTGGATTACTTTTTGTCAGAAAATGATAGGTGAAAATAATTTATATTCAGACCACTATTATAATCTTCATGCAGTTATTGTTCACTGTTGTTCTAGAGTTGAATCTGATCATTATTACGCCTTGGTCAAGATCGAAACGGACTAGTTTAAGTTTGACGATAGTCGTGTTACTTACCAAGGTTTCTGGCGATGTCTTGAGTTTATTGGAGCCTCTAAAGACACTCTACCTTTTGTTTTATGAAAGAGAGGACATTGGCAGATCAATATCTTCAGATGATGTGGTGCTGCAGGTTTTTCCGGGTTTTCCTGCAGCTGAAAATGCAAATGCGCCACTGGAATCAATAAAGTCGCCCCGGAGCGCCAAATAATTCTTGTTGTTTTACAATTTCATGATTTGTATAACTTTCTTGTTCGTGCCATCTTCATTTTCATCAGGTTCATCCTAGCTCCCTTACCTTTGCAGCTGATTTTCGACAGAGGGACAAATGAGTTCATGTCTAAAGGGATGGTGGCGGTATGAAAGTCCTTAGACATCAGTACCGCCCTTCACGGGGTACTCCTACCTGGCTGTGGTGGGATGGATGAAAAAAAAAAATGTCCATCCGTAAACGGGGGACATGAGGGCCTCATTAGATAGAGTGTCGGGGTCTTCTATATCGGAAGGGGTCGGCTACAGCATAATATATAGCTTCCCTGACTAACATATTACTTCCTTTTTCAATATAATTTATCTGGTGGAGAGTAACTCATCAGAAACGGTGCGAGGGATGGAGGAAAACTGGTTTCTGACGGTTCAAAACGTATTGGAAAGGTATAAAGCTCGGAAAGTGAGTCCCCCACGATTTTAACCATCGACAGAAATTGTCACGTTTCGAAGTTTGTTCTTTTTTGCTTCTGAGCAACCAAAACGATCCTCCTTTGGATCGGATCTTCACATGTGATGAAAAGTGTATGCTACAACTGAAATCATAAGGAAGAAATGGATTTTTCCGGCCATAATGTGAGCTGGTGTGACAAAACTTCTCAGAATTGGATAAAGAAACTGGGATTTATATTTGAAATGATAAACAATCGTCAAGCGGTTATGGAAAGCAGAAGAATAGTGGATTTGCGTAACAAATACTTACAACGAATAACTGAATATAGACAAGAACAATGACACATTTTCTATTTGGACGAAACTAGGTGTGACACTCACGACACAGTTACGAAAGGGTGGACTGATGGTTCGAGGATGTGTACGCCTAACATGCCTGCAAAGAAAGGATCGCGACTAATCTTTGTGAATTGCGGAGGAAGTAAAGGATGGGTTCCGAATCCTTCGAAATAATGTGTAAAATACTGCAATGTTGACTATCGTAAGAACATGGAAGCTAATATTTTCGAGGAATGGTTTGAAAACTCATTGATTCGAAATTTGTATGTGATGACAACGCTTCCTCTCATTCGTGACAGCTCATCAAAGAACCGAATGAAAAATTTGAGGAAAGATGCAGGCGGTCCACGATTGAAGACCAAATGTGAAAAACCAGAAAAGTACTTGATAAAATTAGCTGCGTAAACGCAAGCGAAACATAAGTGGAACCTTATAAGTACCTGCCCGGTACTGACGATGCCCAATAGGCTGAAACAGCTGTCTACCGGTGGCTCGTTAATTGAAATCGATATGGAAATGATCAGAAAGTATTTATCTATTCATNAAATATTATTAAAGGGGAGCTGTTGAAAGGCAGGTTGCACTAAATCGTTCACTTGAACTATACTAAATAATATTTTTCAGTGAACTGGTGCATTATAAATTCGTTGAGGTTTATGTTGAGAAACAAAATGAGTTTTGAATGAAGGTTCTTCACATCTTTCAATGTGATATTTGTTATGGTCATTCCTATCCTTCAGCATACGCCTAGAATCTACAATGTAAACTTGTCTTGGAAATTACGATCATTACGACTAATTATTGTACAGAAATATTTATGAAAGTACTCGACCGCGATTTGGCTCAAAGATGAAAATAATTTCTTGCCGTAACCGCAACATTTTGGTTTTATGGGTATTTTAGAATAAACATCTCCCGGAGAATCAACCTAGGGACCTAACTTTGCACGATAAAGTTTGTTTGATCGAACCTCGTCATTATTTTTGTAAATGAAAATGATTCATAATTATATTTTAGATGATGCCTGGTAATATTCTTTTCGAAAGTCATGAATAATCCAAGGAAAACATGTATATATTTTAGTACCGCGCATATTTATCATTATAAAATTTCACGACCACGAAAGAGGTAGCCATCTGGAAAATACCAGGTTGGTCGTTCGGAATTGATCATAAAACATAATCGGTAACTTTGCGGGAATGATAACGGAAGATATACAGGGCAGACGTTAAAAGCCCCCTTCGTACCTCTTGAAAAGGACTACACGTTTAAGTCAGACAAAATTCACATAAATCGGCATGATTTTTAGTGCTTTCTGATGAGAAAAACAACAATAATGTGACACCACTCGTCACAGATAGGTCTACGCCAGACATTTATTCAGGGGATTGATATAATAGTACAGTGAGGTTTCCTCTGATTTTAGATTTTTCAGCAATATGGAGATCACTACATTAGACTGTATGTTGCAATGCCCTACTAGATCACTTGAAATGATGTCCCTAGGTTTTTTTTATGGGGATTTCGTGAAATTTTAAATACATGTTAGACAATCTCAGATTAGTCCAGAACTGACCCAAAAAATATTAAACCTTTTAGCTCTTGATAGTTTGGGAAATATATGGATTTCTTCACAATAGGACTCTACTGTGATGGCTTGGCCGAGTTGCGGAAAGGTATAGTAAATCCACCAACGTGCGCAAATAGAGGATATGAATGGCCTTTCAAGCACCCCAAGAACTATAAATCATGGTGTACCACAAGGTACTGGTCTAGGTCCATTACTTCTCATAATATACATAAATGACCACTGGGGCAGTAAACACTTGCAGATGATACTATTTTGTACTAAGAAAGATATAATAGGCAACATTTTAAAATCAAAGTTGAAACAGATTTCGTTAAAATCAGTACTTGGCTGAAAAATCACTCATTCGCAGTTAATTTTGTGCCATTCTCTTCATATAATCACGACTTACCAACTTAAAATTCACTACAAATAAAAGACAATGGTGTAGTAACAAACGTCAGTTCGAAAAGAAGCTTGAAATATCTGGAAATAATAATTGATAGCCAATTCGAATGGGGTTCTCACGTAGAATATCTTGTTGAGAAGTTGAGATACATTGTTTACCTAATATTCTTGGAATAAAGGATCGAATAACATTATATAGAAATCTAGTGGCACCTCATTTGAACTACGCGATACTTGCTTGGGATTATGTATAAACAACGTGAATAAATATCTTTTGATCTTCATTACTCTCTTTTTGATACTTATATATTATTTGTACTATAATACACCCGTTGTCGATATTTTTGTTACAATATTCTCCAATCTTGTAAGTTTTGAGTTGATATTTCAACAACACATCTATTTTGTGAAATATCTGATTATGATATATTCATAAACCTTTGAATCACATCCTGGAATATCTACGTGACATTCAGCCATTCATTTGAATTTTGAAAAAATGTGACTTACTTCTGTTGTTACGGAATATTTAACGAATTAGGAATCACACGTTGAGAGGTAAGACCTCATGAGTCCTTAGCTCGCACAAGTTTCGACTGCCGAGGGTTGTCGTTCGTAGGGGTGCGATAGCTGGTTAAAGGAAAAAACATATTTCAAACATATTTCTTCGAATAACATTTTGTCAAAAGGCATATGTGTTTTTTCTTATTTCAGACGAATAATCATCCTGAAAAGAGAAATGATCTCTTCATTATGATCTCCTACCACGTAGTAACGGCTACATCATGAATTTATTGAATAACCATCCCTTTTTTCATGGATCTCTCCGAGAGGAAAGAAAAAATGAACACTGTAACAGAATTCCCAGTGAGGTAAATGAAAAACAAGACTTTTATTTAACCTACTCGTATTGTGTTCGTCGTGATTCCTTTTTTATTCAGATTTGATTTCGCTCTCGAACGCTATATTTCCTTTCTATATTTATACGCAACAACGAAGATATATTTAGGAAAAAAAGAAGATGAAGTATTCATTCCTGTTCCGTTCTGAGAAAAAACAAAAACCACACATCCTTGACTTCGGAATTCAAATAAGTCCGCGATGAATGTTTCCGCTATTGGGCATAGTCGATTTTCGAGCGATGAATCACATTCTTAGAGCTTGTTTTATTCCTCCTCCACTTTTCATAGAGTGTACTCAAAACACTAAATATCCCAAGACATTACAAGAATGGTCATTGAATGACCTTGTAGTTCTAGGAACTAGATCTAGGAACCTTCTGTGAACGCTATTTCATTTTTGAGTTTCCCGCTGAATGAGTTTTTTTTTCCAAATTGATATAGGGACAGTAATCTGGGTCATAGTACAAATCTGTTCCAAGTAAGGACTCTTCTTCAACTGAATTTTTTAAAGTTTCTCACTGCCTGGTACGGTTTGCCAAACTGGTCAATGATTCAATATATTGACTAACATAATTGAATGAAGGTTGCGTTTTTGACCGTCGCGAAAGACAAGTGTAGTGACCTGAATAAAAGCATGTTTGAACGTTCTCAAAAGTGCAAGCAGAGATCGTGAGTTTGTGTATCAACCAAATACTTGTTTTTATCATCAAGAACATATATATAGTTTTGGGTAAGTCGTCTAATTTATGAAACTGAATTCCTTGTAGTCATTTTGAAAGTCGGTCATTCTCATTTCATCATGAAGTTATTCTCATTATTCAAACTCATGATGTTCAAAGCATACGTATGGAGTTTTCTAATTGAAATAAGATCTGATATATGCTGCTCTGTTCACTCAAAAATATTTTTCAATAGACAAATTCGGACGCAGAGTTCAATGAACATACCTTTGAATTTTTTTTCAAAATCTTTCTGAAACTTCTACTTAAATGTTCGAAATATGTTGTGTTGAATTGAAACATTTGAAGTACAGTATCAAGGTTATCAATTGAATGGTTCGGCACATTTGTACGTTACTGGTATCTTTGCTCTGTATCTATCACCATAACTAGAGATTAATCATCAATTGACGTTCTTCTGATAACCTTCAACCTTTGAATTTCAAAACGATTCACAATTTCTGCAAATTAATTTCGGAAGAGTCTATGAATGTGAAGAATTCGCTGTGAACCGAGTCGATACAAAATCTTCCTTGTCTAAAATGTAACACAATTTGTCGACAAATGGTGTCATGTTTGAAATACAAACTGACTGGTGTCATCCACACTGGTATACACCGATGTTTCGCCTTAAGACACTTGCCCTAAGGCTCTTCAGTCTTAAGGCGAAACATAGGGGTATACCAGTGAGGATGACAGTGTTCCATGTAAGTGCAATTTGTTACTTTCATTTAAAGTAGAACTCATGTGAATGATATCTGATTTTTATTCCACAACGAATGTTTGAAATACAAACTGAGTAGAGAAAAGTATCTTCTATATAATTCAGTGTTCATATAGAATTATTTGTATCGAAAGGATTTTTTTCTTTCGTATAATTCAATGTTTATATGAAAGTAGCTGTTTCAGGAGGACTTTCTTTCAGTTTGTGTCTGAAAGTTACTTATTTGCATGATCTACATACACATCCATGTATTGAGTTACTTCCTTCCTTTCTTTGGAAGATTCCCTCATCCTTCTTTTTTTTGTATCATGATGGAGTAGTAGAAAGCCAAAAATGTATGTAATATGTTTTGGTAGATTATCGCTACGCGTAGACTTTTCTGTATGGCTTTCAAACCTTTCTTTATGTTTGTGAAGTAAGCAGACAGTCTCTAGAATATATATTTCAAATATGGTTGATATTTTATTTCCGCAGATAAGTGGCCTACACGAGTCAAGCATCTTCAATTTGAATATTCTTCTCAAAGCTCTTTACTGGATAACGAATAAACTTTGCATCAAAATCTGGCTGCCTGAGCCTCAGAAAAGAATTTCATACCGAAGTTTTATACAGTTGGAAGAATTTTTTCCAGCGACATTTCTATTGGTTTTAAGAGTTCGGCGGACCCATAATCTTACCATCTGACCTGAAAGACCACTCACCATACAAACTATTCGGCTTCGTTAAGAAGCTGGGTCTATTTTGTCGAGTGCGAATTGGTGTGATCCACAATAAACCCTCGCGGGTTGCGGTGGAGGGTCGAATAGACGCACTCACTTTGGACCTCACCTAACCTAACCTAACACATCCATCCAGAAACGGACTTCATCGCCGAAGATGATTCTTGTGCGATAGCAAGTGAAAATCGATCGTCCGGCCTCGCGGATTGAACCACCGGTTCACACAGCGGTCGACTGAGGGAGTGGAGCAAACCACCCACGTTAACCCGTTCGGTTACCGTCCTACCTAGTTCAGGAACCTCTTCTGCGTTGATTCGTACAACGGTGGTTGAGTCGATTTCTAGTTAGACTATTGTCTCCACCATGCGAGTATAATGATGGGTAAAAATCACTCACCACTGGAGACAAAACATTTCATTTCCACACGCCACCCGTTATAATATATTCAACAGTGATATTTGTGAATCCAAGAGATATTCCTTATCAGCTGAATAAATTTGTTGGCAATTAAATGTCCTCATTTTTTCACAGCTACAAAAACACCGCCATTTCATCTCCAGTAGTTGAATAAAGGCAGCAACCATGAACAACATTCCAATACTGTTCCTTCATGTGTTCATATTCGTAAATTTCCCATCGACTGAAAGTGCCAAGATCCTGGCAGTGACATTCTACCCTTCATACAGCCATCAAGTGGGTCTGAAGCCGATTTGGAGAGAACTCTCCCTCAGAGGACACAACGTGACTTCGATAACACCCATCCCTTGGAAAGATCCGTCTCTTACGAATCTCACAGAGATCGATGTAGGTTTTGTACACAAAATAGCAGCGGAATCCAATCTTAGCACGAACTTGTCCAAGAGTAACAGGCTTATAAACAACTTCCTGTGGCTTCACAAATATGCGACGCGCTTGACGGAAGAACCGATGAAACGAGAAGACGTACAGAAGGTTATAAGAAATCGCAATGAACATTTCGATATAGTGATTGTAGAAGGGTTGCTACCGCTTATATATGCTTATGGTGGAAGGTTCCATGCTCCAATCGTAGGTGAGTGAAGATGGAGATCCAATTTGAATATGTATATTTTGCATTTTTAAGGTCATGTGGTTTTCAATATTCCACAATCGTGAACTGGGAACTGAACTAAATGCGTTACTCGGGAAATTCACCTCGTGATATTCTGAGCCTTCTTCAGTAGCTACTTTGTTTTATTAAAATAAGTAGTTAGTTTTTGATGAAAAAACATTTCTATTCATTTTAGAAATTCTTTAAAATACACACAAAAATTATTGCAATATACTCAAAACTTATTTCATTTCGAAGTATTAATGAAGAAAGTAAGTAAAAACCATAGCAATGTTTTTTTCAGATGTTATCCTTTCAAAAACTGTGGAAAAGTTCCGTGGTAACGTTAGTTTGAAACGCTTGTCAACTTGTTTTGTATATAACAACATTAGTTGTCAGTATTTCAATTTTAATTTAAAGTTCGTAAACTTCAAGTCTGACAAATGGTTAGATTAACGGAAATGTATAAAATAACCGTTTTACAAATGATTGGTTACGGAGATAAAACCCGAATACAACAGGAAGTAGCAAGCCTATTTCATGAGAAATTTATCGCCGTATCTCGAGGAACAATAAGGAAAATAGAGAAACAGTTTCGCGATCTTGGTCATGTGGGGCAGATAAAAAAAGCAGCTGCCAACGCAATAAGTGATGAACTCAAATCAGATGTGATGCTTGAGTTTGAGGAAAACCCACGTACATCGAGTAGACAGGTATCCACTGCAATCAATGTTAGCCATACAACGATAGTAAACAATTTAAAGAAACTAAAATGCATCCCTACATAAAAATACCTACTAAGGAGCTCATGGAAGACGATTTTGATAGAAGAAGTTATTTTTGTGAGCAAATGATTGTAATGTTGGATATTAATATCATCCAATTAGAAGACGTTATGTTTTCTGATGCGTGAACTTTGTCTCTTAACGGTCATGCTGATTAGAAAAATTGCCTCTACTGGTTAACGGAAAATTCTCACTGGATGAGTAAAGAACACAAGCAATACCCTCAAAAGTTTGATGTTTGGGCAGGGATTGAAGGAAACCATATCATTGGTCCATTCCAAGTTTAGCGAATTTATATACTGATCCAGAAAAACCTCAAGTTCCAGTATTTGGTTTCAGCAGGATGGAGCACCACCACATTACCAAGTTAATAAGGACGCTAGGATCGATTGAGTGGCCAGCGCGGTCACCTGATCTTTCACCATTAGATTTCTTTTCATGGGGATATGTCAAGAGCAAGTATAAAACTGAATCTTCAGATTTGAGTCACTTGGAAAAACGAATAACGCTTGCGATTAGGTCGGTCACGGCTGATATCTTAAATAATGTTAGAAGACAGTGGTGTGAATTTGCGTTTAGGTACCTAATCGTGTGTGTTGGCTTTCGATATACCGTGTGACCTAATGTTCCGTCCGGCCTAATAATATGAACAAGAGGGATGATGCGCAAAGATTACCATCAACATGGAGATCCGTTTTATCGCTTCGCACAAGCAATCTGACCGCTCAACCCCAGAAGCAAAACTCGGTACATGACAATACAGGTACAATAACAGAGACAGGAGAGGCAGCTCAGGTAATAACACAAAAACAGGTAGTCGAGCAAACACAGGTGGTGGCAGCAACGCAGGTAAAGGGAAACATCCATCCCTATAAATTGAGACTAAGCTGAAATTTCGGCTTGAATTTGTTACAGGAGTTTCATCCCTATCACCATTTCTCCACTCCCATGACCTAATGGGCAACCCTACGCACCCCATTTACCCCGATCTGTTGACAGTAGCGGTGGATGACTACAGTTTCACATACAGACTGAAGGGATTCCTCTACAACATTTGGTACAGAGCTCTGTTCTATTGGTACATTCTACCGAAGGAAGACAAACTAGCCAGGAAATACTTTGGAGACGACTTGCCCTACTTGGGTGACATCTTGATGAACACCAGCTTGCTTTTGGTCAATGTTAACCCGGTGATGCATATTCCTAGGCCCAACGTACCCAATGTTATAGAGATCAGCCAGATGCATATAAGAGATAAGTTATCGCTACCAAAGGTAAGACTGAAATATAAACAGGGTCATGCAACAGTGGCGCGGTGTTCCATATCTCTATGTAGAAAACAGATGAGAATCTAAATTTCTATAATATTACTTCATTATTCGAGCTCGACAAAATAAAAATATTGGCGGTCACACAGGGTGTTCAATTTTTTCTGGGCGGATCCCAACTGTGTTTTTTCAAATCGCAACCTATATTTTATATCGTTTTTTCGGTTTCTATATAGAAAATGAAAGACACTTTATGTATATCTTCACTTCGACGGTTTTCGAGATATCTAGCATGACAGGTTTTTTTCCAATATTCGTCACTCAGAATATAAGAAATTATAAAGTTTTGCCAAGTCCAGTTGAATTTTTTTTTGGCCAAATATTCTACATTCTACAGGGTATGAAAATCCGCTTGCCACATATTGTAAATAAACATTTGCAGAATCTTCCTTATTTTGAATGTAACACCCTCTATATTGATCCATAAGGAGCGCCAACGAAACCTCTACAAATTTTATTGAGTATTCCCTATGGCTAGATTCAATAGTTTTTTTTAAAGAAGCATTTTTCTCTAAAAATGGTCGTTCTTCCTATTTCTAGGTCATAAACTCGACTTTTTTCAAAGCGAAATCCATTTGACGACTGAAGAATGTACGAAAGATATCTTGTTTCAATTTTGTACATCATAGCGTGTCCTATAGTTTTTCTTATTTTTTTTCTAAAAATGACAACTCTCTATTGTATCGCCATATCAATTATTTTTTTACTGTGAAATCCAAATGTGACGACTGTGATCGAGATATATGTTATGTTTATAACACTTTTATTCCCTAAATAGAACACCGTGCAATTTCTGCATAGTTTTGTCGAAGCCTTTCCTTAAAATATCGCCTCATGCCTAAAATTATCTGTTTCTAGATAAACAAGTTTTGAATTACACCGCAAAATGTACGTACTTGAATAACTACAATAATTTCAATAATCGAAATTTGTGCCATATTTTTTCTGTCTGAAACAACCTCAGCGAATAAAATAAAATTGAACGATTTGTTGAAACCGGATGTATCAATTATTCTAAACATGAGCGCATCAAGCCAGCTATTAATGAAGATAATGAATTGCAAGTTCTTCTTGCTGTTGAAGAAGATCCTAATAGGAGTCAACGACAAATTGGGGAAATAGTGGATATAAGTGAGAGATCAGTGCAACGAGTTTTGAAGAAACATCTCTTTCATCCATCTCATACTACTGTATGCCGATTTTGAGAAAAGACTGAGATTTTGCAATTGGGCCGTGGGAAAAATTCGTCGAAACAAATATTTTTTCAATAACATTTTATGGTCGGATGAATCGACATTCCATAAAAATCGACATAATTACCATTATTATTCGACAGAAAATCAATATAGGTGGTCGATAAATGTCTGGGGAGGCATCATTGGAGAATATGTAATTGGTCCATACTTTTTTCAGGGACATATGAATGGAATAATGTATGTGCTCCTGCTCACTATTCGACAGAAGTGAGAGATCATCTAAATGAAGTATTTCCCAATAAATGAACGGAATGGGCCTGTACGGTGGCCCGCTAGATCACCAGATTTACCAAAACTGGTTTTTTTCTTTTTTTCTTATGGGGATACATAAAAAATATGGTTTACGCCACCAGCTTTAAAAAACTCTCTGGAAAAGATTATTCAGGTGAGTTTCAATCAAACCCAAAGGAGTGCCTCTTCCACCATAATATGACAGTTTTTCGAGTAAAATGCTGTGGGAAACACACTCGAAGGCCTTTGACAGGTCCAATAATGTGACCTCCACAAGCTTCCCGGTCTCAAGTATGTCAACTATGCCTTTCACAACACTCATAGTAACATCGGTGGTAGAGCAGGACTGGCAAAACGACCCACCAGGAATGAGGCAGGCAAAAGAGTCCATAAAGAAACCATCGCTCAGATTCACGGACCACAACCGTGAGGTTGTAAGGGTAGTGATGGGTCTACTAACGGGGTATAGCCGACTCAGGAAAAACATGGGTCTGACAGAGGAAACCCTTTGTAGGTTCTGTAATGAAGAGGTAGAAACCGCATTCTGTGAATGCGAAGCGATAGCAACGCTGAGGCCCGTAAGATGGGGTTAGTGTCAAGGCTATGGAGGCTCATCAAAGAGATCAAGCTAGACAATGAGCTCCAACAACCAAGGAGCATCAAAGTACCCTACTGAATATTACTGGAGTTTTTTCTCAACACCAAATCGTTATTTTTAACACCTCGACACTTGTTTCGATCACCAAGTGATCATCTTCAAAGAGGAAGATGTTCAAATCTCCCTCTTCCTTTTAATCCTCCCCGTCACTGCTATTTCCTGCCATTCTGAAGGAAATATCAGTGACGAAAATGTCTCTTCGAAGAGGAGATAGACCAAACTATAGTCCTCACATTTATTCTCTATATTCGTGATTTTAGTGTACCCTCTATTCAATAAATTGATTGTTGATTGTGTTATAACATTTCACAGGATCTCCAGGACTTTCTGGATTCGTCCAAGAAAGGAGCAGTGTACTTCAGTTTGGGTTCCAACATCCTGAACAGAAATTTGAGCCCCAACTTCATAGAGGCTATTATAAAAGCTTTCGCAGAACTACCTTACAACATTTTATGGAAAAGTGATGTAGATTATGTCCGAAATATATCAAATAACGTCCTCATCAGAAAATGGTTGCCACAGCAAGATATTTTGGGTAAGTTTCGTTGCACTTCAACATTCTCTTGATTTTTCCTACAGAAAAAGTGTTCAGTTCTTTATTGAAATTCTGAACTGAGCATAATAAAACAAATAGCCGTCAACAATGAATACGATAGCAGTCTAATACATTCTTTATCGTCAAAAAAGGTATACAGTCAAGCTTTGAAAAAATTTCACCCAATTCGAAAAGAAGAAGATAAAACTTATAGACCCTTAAGCTACTTAGTCCAACTCACTACAAATATTCCAGATTTTCTGCACAGCAAAGGTGTAAATACTGCTTTCAAAACCAACAACAACTTAGGCATGCACATTATGAATAACAAAGATAAAAGTTCAGTTTCAGAAAAATCGGGAGTGTATAAATTATCATGTGGGTCATGTCCGATGTTTTATATAGGTCAAACTGGAAGAACGTTCAAAGCTTATTTATTGAAAAAAAAACCCGGTGTTGTTACTATATGTCTTTTGAATCGTATATTATTATCAAAATGATTGAAGACAAATATCATAGAAGATGGCCTGATTGTTTTTTGCTGGATCCTTCAGAGTTATATTTATCAGTAATTTTTCAAAGTTGAATGTTCCTTGAGGGTTTTTCTTTCTGGAGCTCATCAAAATTATTGCTGACTGTCTCAAAAACAACATTTTGAACAGTGTTTACGAAACATACAATTGCTCCCTAACTTTCTCCATTTATTTCTTCACTTTTTCGTACCTCTCTCTTTCTGTATTTCAGGACATCCAAAAGTAAAGGTATTCGTAACCCAAGGAGGAGTCCAATCAATCGAAGAAGCAATTTACCATGGAGTCCCAATGGTCGGGATACCATTTCTAGCTGATCAGCCACAAAATATAAAAACACTATCAGAAAAAGAAATGGCTGTCCCTCTAAATTTTGAAACCATGATGAAAGACGACCTGAAGAGAGCAATTGTGGAAGTGGTCGAAAATGAACAGTAGGTTCCCTTTGTAATTTATTTTCATTATAATTGAATGAAAATAGCATCCTCTTCAAACAAGGTTTTTATATGGGAGACACTATTAAACATGTACTGAATTGATTTTTCCTGACAACTAAAGAATGATTCACTCCATTCTATTTTCAGGTACAAAAACAATATTGCCGAAGCTGCCAGGATCCTCAAAGATCAACCACTGAAGGGAGTGGATAAGGCTGTGTATTGGATTGAGTACGTCATCAGACACAAAGGAGCGAAACATCTTCGAAGCCCCGCGGCAGATATGCCCTATTACAAGTACTTCATGGTAGATGTCGCCATATTCCTTCTGGCTGTATGCTGTTTCTGCGTTTTCATTATTGGTAGATTATATCCGTTACTTTTGAAGAAAAACGAAAAAGTGAAAATGAACTGAATGTTTTGTGTATTCGTTTTTTTACTACACAATTCACAATTACTTATATTGTATGAATTGAAAGGGGTATATTTTTAGGGGAGATTAATTTTTGGTAAAAAATTCTCAGTTGTATGATTATAAACCATGACAAGGAGAAAGTAAACTCCTTGCATGTACAATTTGAACTAATCACAATCAAATATGTTTATATTGTTTCTCTGAAATTGGTACACTTCGGGAATTATGAAAGCATAAAAGCAAATAAACTGAAGATACAAGTGTTAATAAAAACATTGAATCATCACAACTGTTTTTTTGAGGACAGGACACAAGCACCACAGGGAAATTTTCAAGGCGCTCTGTGTATCAAACTAAACATCGAATCGATGTTCAGTTTGATACACAGGTTTGATACGAAATCAAAATCAGGATATCTTTCCAGATGTTTGGAAGGTTGCTAATATAATTCCAATTCCGAAAAAGAATGCACCTACCACGTTCAGTGTCCTATGCCCTATCAGCATACCCTATCTCATGCTTTAAAATATTTGAGAAAAATGTTTTCCGTCAAGTAAGAGCTTTTCTTGAAGAAAATCGAATACTCCCTTACGAGCAGTCTGGGTTCCGCAAAAACACGGAACACAGACTGTTGAAAGTAATAGACGATCTTGCGAGATTCAGAGATCAATCAAATCAAAGCTTTCGATTTAGTTAATTTCGATTGACTCATCAGCAAGCTCAAGTTCATAGGATTCGACGACATTTCTCTTAAATGGATGACCAGCTTTCTCACAGGCCGATCACAGAGGGTCAAACTGGATGATTACTCATGGTAGTCCCTGAAAGAAACAATTTCAGGTGTACCGCAGGGAAGTATTTTAGGACTCTTGCTGTTTTCAGTGTTTATTTTTGATTACCCCACTTTCTTATCACATTGTCAAGTACATCTATACGCAGATGATATACAGTTATATTTGTCTTGTCATAACAGCGATACAGAAAGTTGCGTGGCCAATATAAACACAGATTTGCACAAAACATTCCTATACTCGGAGAATCATGGACTGAAAATCAATCCAAATAAGAATTTGGCTTCATGCATAGGGTCTCAAAGACAAATAGTAGAAACTCAGTGTAACTTTAGGCTCACTCTCGATAACGCAGACATTGATTGGGTAGACACTGCTAAACATCTTGGCGTAACCATAGACAGCTCTTTGTCTTTCCATGAACATGTGACAAACATTTTCAAAGTATCATTCTTCAAACTCAAATCGCTATATAAATTCAAGTGTTAGTTATCAGAAGAAATGAAACTCAGGTTAGTTAGTATTGTTGTTCAGTGTATTACAATATTTTTGCCGCAATATAACAAGCAGAAGTTACAACGTATACAAAACTTTTGCATGCGTTCGTATGCTGTATACCATATAGTCATGTCACACCATTTTTGTTAAAAATGAAGGAGCTGAATGTGAGGTACAGATGCTTCAAACTAAAACACCTAGTTATTCATACAGTTTATTAAGCAGGCATTCTGACATACATATGGTCAATTTGAGAATTAACTCATCCAACATACTTCCAAATTTCGAAGATGTTTTTTTTAACATAGTCCCTTCTTATCTGAATGAAATGTTACCTCTTTTAAATCACGACATTCATCAATTTAGGAAAGGAATAAAATCACAGATACTTAAGGTGGAAACGGCATGGCAAAATCGGTGGAGTGAATCAATTTCGAAACTTCGGGAAGTGAAATCATCAATAAAACCGTAGACAAATTTACCGAAAAAACGTAGAGATCAAATAATCATCACACGTCTACGTCTTGGTCATACACGATTAACCCATGATTATCTTTCCAAAAACACCAACCAACCGATGTGTGAAACCTGCAATGAACAACTCACTGTTAAACATATCCTGACAGAATGCCTAAACTTCGCCCCTCAAAGGAATCTGCACAGGCTGATAGGAACGCTAGAAACTATTTTAGGAACTGAAGTTTGCAGAGCGTAATTTGTTCCCACGCTTCGACCTTCTCGTTTGTTTTCGACGAAGTCACTCCCTCTAAAATGTTCTTGGAGACAAGTACCTTAAGCGCTTCTCTGACGGTCGTCACTTTCTCAATGTTGAGTGGCAGGGTGAGGAAAGGCTGGGTATTCTCAGTAATGTGGTCAGACCCGGTACATTATCCTTTTATTCAGCTGTTCAGATTGACTTCGTGAAGACTATGCAAGCAGAACGTTGCTGAATTCAGTTGAATGATCACTTCGAGTTTCGAGGTGCTGGTGCAGGTTAGACCAAGACTGCACGAAACGTATTGAGGACGTAAGTATTAGGTTCCCGGAAAGACCCACACCCCAAATCGGTACGACCAATTAGCCTTACATATTTTCTGCTGACAGGACTTGATAGGATAATGGATGGACATATCAGGAGGGTAGCATTATATGCAAACCAGCAAATCGACAGATTTAGCATTAAACAACCTTGTTGAAGAAATCTCCCACTACCTGAATCTATAGGATTGTCTCTGGCTAGGAAGGGTATAGAATCAACCATAACTGGCTGGATTTATGCCATGCTAGTAAACAGAACTGCATCTACGACTCTTCAAGGCGAGGCATCAGGTTCAGGGTCACCAGGAGCTGCCCTCTCTCCCCTTCTGTGGTCGCTCCTGGCGGATAGTCTGCTTGATGCCCTCGACAGAAAAAAAGTTGATCTGCAAGCTTATGCATCCTGGCAAGGTCCACGTTGGAAAGGGTAGCTTGTAATAATCTCCAAAGCGCGTTGGACGTTGTTCACAGTTGGTGCCTGAGGGAGCAGATTATGTCTGTCAACCCCAGCAAAACTGTGTTAATCCCCTTCACCAAGAGGAGAAAATTGGACGATCTAACGCCACTTTCCCTCAATGGTTAGGCCATTCCATTTGGAACGGAAGTGAAATATCTTGGCATTGTCCTTGATAAAAGACTCACCTGGAACGCTCACTTGGAAAAAGTTTTATACAACGCCAGACTATGGATATGTCGAAGGATTTGTGGTAAAACTTGGGGTTTGGTCCCAAACAAATCCATTGCATTTATGTGATGATTGCCAGACCAATGATCACTGCATACACATGGATTCCACAAATCAATTCAATGCAGAGTGCAACAGATTGGTTGACACTGGAAGTCACAGCATTCTGAAAATGACCTCTCACTTTATGCATCCAACTGTCAACTACCAACTGCTTTATAAAGTACTATTCCCGAGTAGGGAGGACTGGATCCTTCGGGAGAAGGAAATATTTGGAGCAAATAGTTGTTGGTTGGTTCCAAAACATCTTCCGGTTCTGGTGCAGGTGTTTTCAGTCGCAGACCCAGGACAGAGCTATCTACCTGCCTAGGAATTTATGCGACTGTATTTCAAGCGGAAATTTACGCTATTGAATTGTGTGCGAGGAGATTGGATAAATTCAACCTCACGAACAAGTCGATAACAATATTCTCGGACAGTCAAGCGGCGTTGGAAGTTCTTGGCTCCTATCGAGCAACGTCTAAATTGGTAGCAAAATGCCGAAAACGACACTCCTTGATAGGAAGACCTAACAGATTGTCTCTGGTGGAGGGTGCTGCAAGCGGCCCCATTGGACCAGAACCTGCCATTGGCATCGCTTTGGGCTTTGCCAAACAAACACTGAAAACCTGGATGGCAAAAAGATTTAAGGACTTCTCTGGCAGAAGTCCAAAGCGTTTATTCACCCTTGGAAGCTTGATACCAAACAGATGTTGGACTACAGTAGAGATGAACTACGATGTCTAACAGGCCTTCTTACAGGTCACTGTCATTTCAATCATGGGAACAGAAGAAAGTCACAGGGGGACAAATCTGGTGAATACGATGGCTGAGGAATGATTACGGTGATGTTTTTTCTGACTCGGATTAGAATCACCGCGGGCGGGTTGGTTGTTCTTGTTCATCTTTCACTGCCTGAACCACTGTGCATGATGTTTTCGGCGAGTGCACTTGGGATGTGTGGGTTGAGCAAACCGGCTATCGTATGCCTGCTTCCACGTAGCCCCGCTGGATACGGGAATGAAATAATCACTTGTGGTTCTTGTTATTCCCTAACTGAATGGCATCCCAACGGTGGCTTAATCCTAAGGTGTGTGTATCCGTGCCGAAAGGATGAATGACACTGAGCCTATCAGCTGTCTCCACGGAACCTTCGAGATACCGGGCGGCCTCTCGTCGTAGCATCACCTTGTCACGGTAATGCGGGGCTCTGCCGTGATTGACCTTTTTTCCCTAGCTACTCATAGTTATTTGAACGACCCAAAGAAAGTATTGCACTCTCAACTTCAGCCTCCGCTACAGGGTTGGAAATATTTGTTGTGATAACTTTCATAGCTGTCGTTAGAATGCTATTGAATAGTTAATAACGAAAATCAACATTAAAATTTTGTTTGCGCCTGGTAAATAACTAATTTGTAAATGGATCGACGATAAGAAGGAAGTTTAACGAACATTTACGGTGAAAAAACATTATTCCTTTTCCCTATCATTATAAAAATAGAAGTCGGTTCGTTTTTTTAACCTAACAACTGAAATATATAAGTGTAACGCTGATCGAAACAGTGTTGGATATTTTTTCCAAGTGGCCATGGGAAAAATGTGTGTTAGCAAGTATTTTTCGTTATATCTCCTTCTTTTCGTTCTACCGTCATTCAAGGAGGCTGCACGGATTTTGGGAGTGATAACTTATCCTGCTCACAGCCACGAATCATTCTACAAGCCAATCTGGAGGGAACTTTCTCTGCGAGGACACCAAGTAACAGTCATATCATCGGAAAATATAAAGGACCCGTCGCTGGTTAATCTCACAGAAATAGACATCAGTTTCACTAAAGATCTACTGAAAAATGCTAACGTCCTTGCTACGCTTCCGGCAAACGGATTTCTCTTTCAGAAAATATTATGGGATCAAAATCTATTACAGACCTTAGTCGAAGCCCAGCTTGGATCTGAAGAAGTTCAGAAGCTGATCAAAGACCCGGAGGAGCATTTCGATTTGGTGATTGTGGAGGAAGTTTGGCCCCTCATACATGCGTTTGGTGCTAGATTCAAATCACCAGTAATAAGTGAGTAAAATAAAAATTAACTACTCGTGTATGAATGGGTAGATAGATAGTATATTTGACCATGTATACACTGTGTCCGTAAAGTATGGAACAAATTCATTTTTAGCTAAACAGGTCATTTTAAGAAATAATCCTGAGACACGTCGATTTTTGATGTTAATTTACCGTATTTTCAAATAATAATCTAATATACAGGGTGAATTACGTTCGAGTAATGACGTCACCGTCATTTTTTTTAAATGGAACACCCCCATTTTGTCTCAATTTTCGGATTACTCTAGCTGAGCTGATTCCAAAAATGTATCACATGTTGATTCCAATTGGTACAGGGTGGACAAAAATACAGTAGTTGTGTGTGTGCTAATAAAGTAACGCGTAACATTCTTTATTAGGTAAATTAACAATATTATCAAAAATACTTATTGTCTAGCGG